GTGTTGGGTATTTAATCGTTCCATCTTTGCCTGAAGTGTTAAAGCTAAGAATTTCTGTTGTAATTTGACCTTTTTTTTTTTTTTTTTAAAGCGTATCTATGGACTTTGTGATTGAATGCCTGTTTTGTAAAGGCAAAGTGTTTTGCTATTGAGTAAAAAAAGTTCTATTCTGTGCCTCCTCTGCCATTGTCATTAACAGATGTGCAATGGCGAAGACAGACACAGCAGCTTGGACTCTGCCAGGTAGAGTGAAGGAGCAACTTTATTGGAAGCAGATCACTTGTTTGCTGGACTTGTGAGTGTTTTACTGAATTGTAATGACTTTACTGTGTAACTTGATTGCTATGCTATTGTTAACAGATTTTTGACTTGGTGTTTTTTAGTTTATTTATTTGTACTTAATATTTAGTTAATTTAACTTAGTTATGTGGTGCAATCATTGTGTAACTTGATTGCTATGCAGTTGTCTAACAGATTTTTTTGACTTGGTATTTTTTTGTTTTGTTTTTTTGTACTTAGTATTTATTTAGCTGTATTGTTTAAGTTTTATGTAGTGCAGTCATTGTGTAACTTGAGCTGTGTTGTAAACCTTCCAATAAACATTGTTGGCCCATTGTGTGCATTCATTTCAAGATATTGAGCAAATATGAATGGAGTTTCTCATTGCCTTAGGGCATGCATTGTCAAACTCATTAATATTTGCTTAGTATCTTGAAATGAATGCACACAATGGTCCAACACTGTTTTATTGGAAGGTTAACAACACAGCTTAAGTTACACAATGATTGCACTACATAACTAACTTGAACAATAAAGTTAAAGAGATACTAAGTACAAAAAATGAACTTAAAAAATACCAAGTCAAAAAAATCTGTTAGACAACTGCATAGCAATCAAGTTACACAATGATTGCACTACATAACTAAGTTAAATTAACTAAATATTAAGTACAAATAAATAAACTAAAAAACACCAAGTCAAAAATCTGTTAACAATAGCATAGCAATCAAGTTACACAGTAAAGTCATTACAATTCAGTAAAACACTCACGTCCAGCAAACAAGTGATCTGCTTCGAATAAAGTTGCTCCTTCACTCTACCTGGCAGAGTCCAAGCTGCTGTGTCTGTCTTCTCCATTGCACATGTGTTAATGACAATGGCAGAGGAGGCACAGAATAGAACTTTACTCAATAGCAACACACTTTGCATTTACAAAACATGCATTCAATCACAAAGTCCATAGATACACTTAAAAAAGTCAAATTACAGCAGCAATTCTTAGCTTTAACACTTCAGGTAAAGATGGACAGATTACATACTCTAGAACACTACTTCTGTCAACCATGTGCTCACAGGATTCAACAAAGGTCCCATCATCAGGAGTGGAACAACTTCATTAAACCTCTTCTTTTGAACTCAAACAAGATGAAATAAAGACATTACGTACAAACGCTCTCAGATAACTACACCATGTTCAAAGTGTTTAGCGCTACCATGTTACAAAACACTTCTATTAACCACTACTTAGTACTCTAAAGAATTCCACATTCAACAATAGCCACACAATGATTGCACTACATAACTAAGTTAAAACTTAACTTAATACATATATTAAGTACAAATAAATGAACTAAACAACTCTAAGTAAAAATAAAAATATGTTAACGACAATAGCATAGCAATCAAGATACACAGTAAAGTTATTACAATTCAGTAAAACACTCTCAAGTCCAGCAAACAAGTGATCTGCTTCAAATAAAGTTGCTCCTTCACTCTACCTGGCAGAGTCCAAGCTGCTGTGTCTGTGTTCTTCTCCATTGCATCTGTTAACGACAATAGCAGAGGAGGCACAATGAATGGAATGACAATCAAAAGCTGTGTTGGTCTCATTTACCTGTTGCTGTCAGGATAGAAAGCCACACGGTTGATGGGATCAACATGACCTTTGACTCCTGCCAAACTCCTACATAGCAAGGAAGAACCTGCAGATTAGAAGAACACAGCATTGTGCCATTGACAAACAGGTTTTCCTTAAAAGCAGCTACTTCAACAGCACTGTCAACGACTACATGTTTACATATCACTATGACTGCTCACTATCAACAGTAATACAAAGTTGTGGCTTCTTCAGTGCTAACACAAACACCACAATGGAATAAGGAACACTGTACATTTTCTTCATCTGTTTCTTTTGTTCAGATCAAGACAACAGTCACTGGATGCTTTATTCAACCACACAATAATACCCTGGAAACACCACTTCAACTCACCTGGCCTCAAATCTGCCAATCCTGATGGAGGTTGTGGTCACTTTCATAGCCTCCTGTCCACCTCCCATAACCACCTACAAAACATGCACGGTTCAAGGTTGATCTACCTGGATACACATTGCACAGTGACAACTTCATCTTACCTGATTGGATAAATGGTGGCAGAGTTCACTTTTACTACACATAGAGCCTTTAGCAGCATCAGACAGTCAAGTCACTTAGTTTTATTGGACTGCAATCTGTCAACATTAAAAAGTAACACAATGCCGTAACAGTCAGTTCATTTTAAACTGTACCACTCATGTCTCCTAAGATGTACTTAAAATATTCTAAAGTCTATTTTGTATATGTATATGTATGTATGTATGTATGTATATGTATATTCACGTACATAAGTCAGTGGATTCACATCACAAGGTCTGCAGTATGGACAGACTGACCAACACACCTAGACTGAAGGAAAATGTCATTGTAAATAAATGAGAACATTACAAAAGAACGAGTGGACAGTTTTTTTGTGTATCTTGCTATAACCCCCAGCCAATTGTCAAAGTTTACTTCAGTTTACACATACTTGTATAACAAACTAAATGACTGGAGGGTCACCTCACAATTCCATACATACGTAAATAAACAAACCATTCCTACGATGTACTTTTGGTTTTCCATAAACAATGACAACTCCAACAGTTAAAAGAACAACTCTTTTCTTTGTGGAAGACTTCTGTTAGGCAACTGGACATGAAATTTTCACTCAACAGAGGAGGTGGGATACTGAAACCATTCTGATGAGTATTACAACGCCCCACACAGAAGGAGGGACCTGAAGTAGCTTTATTTCTTGTCACACCCACAGTATATATTTCCTGTACTCCCCACCACCACTTAGTACTGAATAAGCCTCTTGGATAAGAGGTGAAACGTTCACATTCAGTTGCCTAGCAGAACTCTTCAACCTGGACAATTGAGAATCTTCATAGACAAATCTCTTCTTTATTTCCATTCAAAAACTCAGGTTTCATTTTTAAAAACAAAACTCTACTGTGGGCGTTCTCCTTGATGGCCAGCGAGGTGTCATTCTAATATTTTATTTGTAACACTTTTCAACAAATGTTATCACATCAATCATTTAGACTCAAGTGGCACAGAACTACTGTCACATAACACATATTCTCACCTTGGCAGTGTTATCCTTTGAGGCACTGATGAACCTGGTGACGTCTGAATGTTGTTGATGCGCCTGCTGTGCTCCTTAGCTTTCTTCAGGACTTCTCCGGACTATTTAGAAATAAACAACCAAAAAACGTGTTTGTGATTATCACAAGCTCAACAACAGATGCTGCCTGTGATTCATTATTTTCTGTTCCTCTATTTCATTTCTATAATACTGTGTGCAAACTAGCAGTAATCAGGAAGCCATGCACTATCTGCAGTCTTGTTTCTTTCACAGTATTAATTTATTTACGTTGTGCGTGACGATTACTCACCGATCTCTGGATCCCTCTGGTCAAACAAGTTCATGAAACAGTGACAGCCCATCTGCTTGTCTGTGGAAAACATGATGATGTTGCAGCTGAAGTCGAAGCCGCATGTTCTGCTGGCAGAGTTAGTGTGGAGCAGTGCCAGCTGTTTCCCTGTGAAGCATTAATGAAGACACACAGCAAAAATTAAACATAAAAGATTTGACAGGAAACGATCCAAAATACATCCTCAATTATTTACACTGTTGATGTATTTAATATATGATATATTTATTTTATATACTTGTTCACATATCATCCTGATAATTATACTAGTTCTGCTTATATATACATATTATAGGTATGATGTGGTATACTTTACTATATACATATGTACACACATACTGATTTCATGTAGAATAACAATAGTATAACAAAAATACAAAATATAATAATTAAGATTGCAATCCACAACACCAGACACGGCAACAATAATTACCTACCAATACTAACCGATCTATTTACTAACAGACTAATCCACTAACATCCACTGTTTAGGTTTTCCATATTCATTGATAGTATGCGGCTACTTGTGTTTGTATTTTACCCATTTGTGTTTTTATTGTGGTTTTGGTGCTGTACTGCTGCTGGAACCACCGAGGGATTCATAAAGTTCTATCTATCATTATAAACACATGCATTTTCTTTTCACCCACCGGTCTTGCAGGCTCACAGTCAACAGCTGTTGTCAGCTGATCCTGTCAAAACATCTTTTGGTGTCCCCTGAGAAGAGCCAGTTAGGGAGCGTACACTAGGGTCAACTGTGTCATGATTACACATTTACTTGGTACAATAAGTGTCAGACAATTAATCATAATATTACAATTATTATGCTTTTAATTGTTTCACAACCCTGTGCTGTTGCATGATAAACACCTTCAATGTCATAATCCCATGTCACATTAGGAAAACATTGTTGCAGTATACCAGTCTTCACGTGTTTATTGCGTTTATTGTTTGAGTTCACCTTCACTTTGGTTGTATTTTCTGACGCTCCCCAGGAAAGGAGGGTCTTCATATCGCTAATTATTAGTGATATCAACTTATGACATCCCTGGTGAAGACACGGCAGCATATCGAGCTAAATAACATAAAAGGATATAGTCACAGTCAATGCACCACACAGGTCCGTTGTAGGTACCAAGTCGTTCGCCGTTGACCGAGTACCACACGTTGGCGACATTGTTGAAGTGTCACTTATCGGATATTTGGCGACAGAAAACAGAAGGTCTCCTCTACTGCCCTGCAGTACAACAAGTGTTTCCTAAATCCCACCATTTCAATCAATCAGATGTAGCCACCGTGCCCATTTGTTTTTACTTAAACGCCCGCTGGAAGACCAAACGGACAACACTTGTATCTAATGCGCCGGAACCGCAACCGGAAATAAGGATCGTATAACGTCACCCTACTTCCGTTATACATACATTCCAGCGCGCCCTCTATCGCTGACCGCTGACATTAACATTTTTTGGGTAGAAGTGACTTCATATTTAGTATTTAAATGTATTTCAAGAAAATATTTAACACTGTCACGTAATCCCCAGTCACTAAAAGACAACACGGCTATTTTTGTTCTTTTTTGCTCATTTGAAAAATATTTGCTCATGGATCTTAATGTGTTTTGCTGCAAGAGGTTATTTTGGTAGCTCCATGCGTATAGATTTTTGATAATGTTCCACCTCTCTGCCAAATAGCAGATTTAGATTTTTCCAAAAAACCCTTTGTTGGTGCTCTTTATGAAAGTTTTAGACATTCTTTAGGGGCAATGCACAGACATTAGGTCCATGGGTTTCACTTCTAACTATCATAACATCTGTGACATTTTTGGATTCTGTGTGTCCATTTGCGACGTGTGTGTGTTTACATTGCTACCAACAGGTGTGGCTGTTGTGTGTCCAAGTAAAAAAAATGACACCAAAGAAAGACAAGGGAAACACAAACTTCAGTTTAACTCGCTAAAATAGCTTTATAATAATTATATTAATAGTAATAATATTAGCCATTTAAAAAATGTTTTGACAATGTTGACAGTGTTACATTCTGTGTTGGGGTAAACCAAGTCACAGTGCGCCATCTCTCTGGGCTAAAACACTCTCAAGACGTGCTCTAGTGACACATCTAGATCCATTAACACATACAAGGTCAATAAATAAATTTGTATGTACAAAATGTGAACCACAGCACAACAAAGAGTTGTGATTTCCGCACTGTGCAACCTCCTCCGCTGCACCTTTCAAAAAGTCATGCATCACCTCTATCCACCAGTGGCCTCGTGGAACAACAAATTCACATCTATGGCATCGCTATTGCTATATGTTCCGGTCATCTCCCTGTGAAGGGGAAAAGCAAACACATCAACTGTCCTTATGTACAGTGTACTGTCTTGGCACCGACTCAAATGTCTTTAAAAAAAACAAAACAAAAATAAAGCTAAGCTAAAAGACCCGTTTGATTCAAAATAATGGTGGTGACCACGGGTTAGAGGAAAGAGAGTAGGAAGAGAGAACAAAGGTCAGATTTTTTGTTGCTACATTACTGAAATGAGCCGAATACAGAGAGGATGGATCAGCTTGATATCAACTATATGTGTCCCTCGGCAAAAACAAGACTCGAAAACGGAGAAACAAATCTAACATTTGGATCTTCTTCATCAGTTCTTACACTCATCAGTGTTTCTTTTTGTCATTTTCAAACTCAGTCCATTTGTTTTGAATGTACACAAGACTTGCCCTTCACTACAAAACCATGTTTCACCCATGGCTAGATTCGGCAACACCGTTGATAATATCAATAAAAGTGTTTGCAAAATGAAAATCCTTCAATGGCAATAATCATACTGACAATAATTCTGCAGTACCAACATATGTCACATATGAAAGAGCAATGTTCACTGGCAACATGTATGTACAGTCCTGTAAACACGAGGGCGGCAGGGTTATTTAGATTTTGTTAATTACACAGTAATTGCTTTGATGTCTCTGACCCCCATGGTGTGTAGTATACAGCAACATTACAATTGTAATGAGTGTGCACATTCACACACACACACACGCAATTTAAACTTAGCACTGAAAGCACACTGGAGTCTCAGTTAAATTACCTGATGGGCAAGAGCTGCTCTGGAGGCGGTGGAAGAGCAAACTGTTGACTTTGAGTAGAGGAAGTCAAATATTTTTAAAGTAAAAAGATTACTTGTGACTTTAAAGGCACGTTAATAAAAAACCCACCGTTATAGTTATGTACGATTAGATTAAAGAATAATGTATTTCTTTAACGTGTATTATTTATTTAGGATTTTAGTAAATACAAAAAGTGACAGTAAATATGGCTGCTAATTTCTCATTGTAATGTTATTTTTATGAAAAGGAGCTCAAGTTTGGCATTAAATTGAAATCAATACTTTTTGATATTTTAAGCATCTACAGTGTACATTTCTGTCCTCAAGGTGGCTCGGGGGGGGGGATGGGGGGGTGACAGAAAATAATTAAAAACCACTGGTCTAAGCACAAAAGTACTAGATTACAACAGTCATACATTGTGCTTTGGAAATAGTCCACCTGATGTCAAAGAGAAGCCGTCTGCTGATGTGTATGGCTCTATTCCCCTCTTTGACTTTGTTATTTAAAAGTTATTTGTTCATTATTGTTAATGAAGTGTTTTCTTCCATCCAATTTAGTTTGGCCTCCAGAGCAGCTCTGCCTTTTCACTGTGACACTCAAACTCACACATGCTGCCTTGCCATCCTTCCTCCAAATACCCATTGTTGCAGAGACCTGACAGACAGTACATTGCACACATATTGGCTACAGTTGACCTTGCGCCCCCCTCTTGCTCCTCCCTTACCCATCTGCACTACAATTTCTGAAAATAGCTACTAGGGAAACTGGACTCAACAACAGCTGCTCACCCTTATTGTCCAGATAGTGTAGACATTCCTGTGAGACAGCTCCGGTCCTGTGTTCTCAGGGTCCGTTGGTTGTGTGATGCAAGAGAAAGCCCTGAGGACAGAGGTCTGGGTCAGAAGTTGGAAACACTGTCGATAGAAACTGAGGTACTTGGAGCCGACGCGTCTGTCAGGCTGTCCGTGTTTGCTGTCCGGCATGTTGGAGTGGTTAAGGATCATGTTTATACATTGACACGCCCAGGTGCTATTGTTACAGTGGTTATATAGTGTGCACATATATAGTTTGACAGATAAATAGCTCAAATACAGAAACCAAATGTATGGAAATCACAAGCGAGAAAACTGTGTTTGTAATGGACCTGTATCAAGGCAAGGTGGTTGGCTAAACACCTCAACATATGAGCTGTAGTTTAGAGGAGAAAGTCACCAAATACTTGAAGTAGAAGAAGTTGCTACTGTTGATAAATCTCATCGAAGCCGTCCCCCGATCCTCGGTGTCCTCTCAAGGCCAAAATGGATGGACTTTACCATCGGGTTGCGTGTAGGTGTGAGGATTTCCAGGGTGGAGTTGAGTCCTTCACAGTGGAGTTAACAGTATAAAAGCAGGTCTTTGTGCTTTTTTCATACACCACTGAGATGTTGTCAAGTTTGAGGATAACGCAGGAGCGAGGATGAGGGGATAAAAGGCTGCGCTGCAGCCCGCTCTGCTGCAAAATGAACGGAAAACCACGTCTGCTTCTGAGCCCTTTTGTTTTTTTTTCTTCCATAGACAGGGCAGCTCACGTTACATGGAGGTTGGTACATTGTTCTGTCAAAATTCAAGTTGAAACACTGATCTCTGTTTCAATGTCGCCAGTATTACAGTCCTCGGAGGGCATTGTTTTTGTACAAAGAAACGACTCGTTCTAAAATCTTAACAAATGTTTGTTTGTTTTTTTCGGTCACAAAAAAAGTTGGCTACAAAATGTGCTCGAACCTTCATCCGTTAAAATGAGATTTCTGCTAAATTTGTCACAAAACATGCATTCACGACAATTTCGATGTGTGTATTGCAAGTGGAAGTGAAGGAGACGGAGGATAGTGTGGCAGGGGGATAAAAGGTTTTCTTTCTTTACAGTGTTCCTCTGCGGGTTGATGCAGAGTTGAAGTTTCTATTTACATACACTTCCTCTCATCTGTGTTGTGTATATACTGTATACATATGGAAATATATATATGAATATATATGAATATGTGTATGTCTGTATAAACTGTGTCAAAAGGAAAACCTCCACAGAGAGCTGGTTAGGCACATGTCGTTTGCTCTGAAGAGGGCGATGATACAGGAAGGGGATACAGCAGTGTACATGTACATGTACATCTACACATTGTTGGAACCACACATAGATATACAGTAAATCTAAGGAGGATCAAACTTGGCAATTACCACTGTTGCCAGTTATACCCTGTGAACCTGACCCAGCACTCACAAACGTAAGCTAAGAATAATCTTTTGAAATCTTTTTTTCTTTTTCCACATACACCGAGTATGGATATGTCACACAGCTGAAATTATGTACAATATTAATCTTGTTTTTTTTTTGTAATACTGTAGTATTTCACATTTGATATATGCCTTTTTTGTACATATATTGTAGTCAATAGTCTCTACTAATCTAGAAATGTAGATTATAATATAAAATATACATCTCCATTAAAATATTCCCATTTGCCAACACATTCTGTTCAACTCTATAGAAAAAAAAATCAACAAGTCATGCTGAAAGGACTTTCTTTGTAGTCTTTAAAATGGCTGATTTGGACTTTTCAATATTCATCAGGCTTCGTCACGTGTTCTGTACGACCCCGTGACACCCACACTACACACATTAATGCAAAAACAACCGTACAAAGTAGTTTGGTATTAAATATGTTTTCTCACATAGATTTGCCAATGATAAAACTTTCAAACTCATGCTACGGCTCAGTGGGAACACCACGCATTATGGATTAAAACAGAGGTCCCCAATAACGGGGGCGTTCAAGGTTTTGCTCGTAACGGAAAAAAAACTGACATAGTATATTATTCTATTTATTATTTAAAAGACCAGATTCTTGCATTGAATTGTCACAAGTCCAGACGCTTGTCATAATAAAAGTCTTTGGAGAGCTTCATTTAAAGTGAACAGAACACGAGCCTGAAGCTTTCAGCATAATATTAATGCATTTCTTTTGTTCTTCTACATATATATATATATTTTTTTTTCCTACAAGAAAAGTACAGGTACACGAGAGGGTTTGGCACATGGGGTAAACTCATGTGCCAAACCCTTATGGTGACTTTTAAATTCATGCACTTTTCCTTTGTTACATAATGGAAAAATTGGAGACCTCTGTTTTTGAGAGCCTAGTAAAAACATATAGGAAAACACTTGTGATAATACATGTACCTTATTATTTTAATGTTTAGTTTCTTTTTCTTTTCTTTTCTTTTTTTGTATAATTTCCCTCTGTGATGATTCTTTGGAAAGGTTGGAAAATTGGGAGGACTGTACTTCATCATATCATGGATGGGTGTCAGCACTTTCTTCTGAGTTGGTGGTCTTCTTCAATATGAAAGCACACCGTGAAAATAACACTCAAAACCACAATTTCCAGGCTAAAACACAAGTAGAGAAGAAAACAAAATCTTTCATGGCTGTTTCATCCCGGAATCTGTTCATTTCCTCTAAAATGAGGCTGAAACAACCAAATGCACCACCATTGTCAACGTGGGTCTCCAATTGACCACATGGTGGAGCAACAGTCTCACAGTGAAATAGAGGACATGTCACTAGAGGGTCCTGAAAAGCCTCCAAGATATAATCCTATAAAAAAAAACAGCGACCCCACCCCTGAAACTTCACACCACAAAGAGATAACAGCGTTTTGTCTCTCTTTCATTTCTGCCTTGCTGACTTTAATGCTCCTTATCTGTCAAAGCTGTGGAATTAAACTGCTCCTTTCGGCAGACGAATTTGTAAACTATATCCAAATAGAATTTGCACATACAATGATGTGATGATTGAAAGAGAGAGAAAATTCAGATATTTAGGCCATTGGCTCGGTTCTCGGGTTCTATACAGGCTGAAAATGTCTAGTTACTCTCCTTTCAGAGCTAAACGTCTTCAACCCAACTCAATGACCTGGATGGCTGCAACTTCGAAAGGCATTTGACTGCTATGGCATTTAAATGGTGATGGCGGCGAAGTCGTCTCTAAGATTTCATACACACTGGCTGAAAAACTAAAGCATTAATGTGTGTTGTGGAGAATCATAAACTTTACAGCATTTTACACAAACTGATTCTGATTTCTCGGGGATGTTTTCTCAGAGGTTCTATGCAATGCTCAGCCCTTTATTTTCAGTGAAGAAAAAAGTGGAAGGTGAACACGCACAGGCATGCTACTACAGCGTGGACCTTCGCCAGGCTACTACCGGTGCAGAGTGGTATGCAATCGACTGTGGGATGAACCAAACGATAAAAAACAAGTATCTGCTGTGAACAACTGGGTCTGTAAGGTGTGGATTTCAAAACACTAAAATGCCAGCTGTGGCCGATGAGCAAGGTATAATTAATTGGTGTTGGACAGAAATGTTGAGGGGCGGCTCGCACATGAAGAGCCGTGACCCGCAGTAAGCTGTATTTAGAGTCGAGTCTGAGCCTCAGGGATGTAGATCTCTATGCTGTCAGCACTCTCTGTGGCTGAGTTTTGCCTGAACGAGGCCGTTCTCTTGGTCTGCAGCAGCCGTCTCCTCGCTTCTGTCCTCTGACGCTCGCCGAGGTCCAGTGACTTCTCTCTCATGGGTAAAGTGTGACCACCCACACGAGGAACCACCAGGCCCCCCGGTCCAACTCCGCCGCCCACCTCCCCAATGCTGTCGGCCCGGAGGCTGCCACTCACGCCACCCGCTGGCTTCTTTGGTAATGGCGGAGGAAGTTTCTTGTCCTCCTGGCCCATTTGATGATGAGACATTTAGGAAGTGAGTAGACAGCAATTTTTTTTTTTGGTGTCGGGTGGTCGAGTTGTGAGGCGGTAGAAAAGAAATACCATGCAAAATGTGTAAAACATTCAAGGAACCAAGTAAAAAGATGGAGGAAAAAAATGAAAGTTTTAGAGCATGCAGTGGCACCAGATAGAATGAATTGAAACAAAATGTAAAAAAAAAACAAAACAAAACAAAACAAAACAAAACACCACAACGATGTGGAAATAACAAGAAAAAGGGAGAAGCACTTGTTAGTTTGTTATCACAAATAATGTAGCTGATTAGTGAGTAGTCTAACTACTGTAGTGGCAATGGAAAATTACTTTCTTTTAAAATTAATATTTATCACAAATGAAAAACATTTTCAGCAGTGCACAACTTTACTGCTCAGTTTCTTTCGCTGCGTTATGTGTTTTCACCGCCTGCAAAGGTTTGGAGGGCACGACCATCTGTGCTACTCTTCTGCACACTGCCATTTTAGCCTCGGGCGTGGTTGACGAGAAACCAAGCCCATTTGGATCCTGGGGCCCCTCACCTTCTTTTCAGTTGGGAGCCTCCAACCAGAGTCCTTGAGCCTCTGAAGGTCCTGAAACTTGACCCTGACGTCCTCTATGTTGAGCTGCAGCAGGTCCCAGAAGCCTGCTAGGTCCTGAGAGGTGGGCTGAGGATATGCTGCGGGCTCCTGAGCAGGCAGAGATGTGACACACTGGGAGTGAGTACTGAAGATTTTCAAGAAAAGGAAAATGCTACGCAGCACAAATGTTTGTGTTTTTGCATCTAAACCAATTTTTCTTAGCGGTGGTTAAGGAGAAACATTGAATGTGTTTTGTTTTGATTCTGCATGCAAACACATACCACACTTTGTTGGCAAAGGCGAAAGAACTGCTGGACTTTCTGAGACATGAGCATCTGTGCGCTGCCAACTGCATTTCTAATCAGCTCAAGAACTGAAAAGAAGAAGAAGAAGAAGCATACACAGTTTTTAGGATTCCAAAATGATTCACTGTTCATTGTTCCAATCCAGCTCCCTCTGTAGACTTACTCTCCTCTGGCAGTTCATTCTCCTCAGCCTCTCTCTCCATGTTCTGGCACCAGCCCTCCATCCTCTCCACCTCCGTCTGCAGCAGTCGTAAAAAGAACTCTCCATCTCTCATGCATGGCGTAGCTCGCCCTGAGTCAGGCAAACTGCGTGGGCCTTCCAGTGATGGTGTTCCTGCCCAGGCTCGCTCTGATGTGATGGGCAGAGGGGAGTGGGAGCGTGGTGGCAAGTGAGGGTGCTGGTGCGGCCGTGGATCTGCTGGACACACATCAGCGGTGTAGCCACTTTGGACAAAGTCCTGCAAGCAGATGAGGACATTTTTGCACTGGGTATATCAGACAAGAATTTAATATTAGATTCATGTCACTTGAAGTTGATTTTATTATATAATAATAGTCATTTTTATTATTAAGTTCCTAACCTCCCTGTAGCCCCACTGCCCCTGTGTGTGGACCGTTCGATGGCTCTCGGTGTACTGGCTGGCAGACTCAGGCTCCGACGAGTGCCTTTGGAAGGAGCAGCCGAACTGAAGGCTCTTGTCTTGTGTTGGCACGGTGACGCCGAGCCCTGGGAAGCCCTCGGGGTCCAGGTCGGCCTGCACACTTGCCGTCACGCTGTTGGAGCGCTTGAAACGAGCCCGCCTGCAACAAAGAGAGTCAGCGCGATTCATCCAATTTACACAGAGCATTGCATGCAAAGTTTTAGGTCTTTGTAGTCATTTCCATCGACTGTGTGGTTATAACAACGCTAAATATGCCGGCATATGACACACAAACGTGTGAAAACGTCATGTCGGTGGACTTACTGATTAATGGGTTAACAAGTTTGAATCCCGCCTACCCTCATCCTACTTTACCTTGCGATGAGGTGCAAGGCCTGACTCAGATCTCTGCCCTCCTTTCTTCCTTCCACCCCCCCTGTCATATCTGATGATTGCAGAAGGTGGGAGACCATATTAACAGGTGTGTGATCGCATACATGTATTGCGTGAAACTGCAAGTGTTTTCCTCCTATGCATGTGCGTCTGACCCATAAGCGTTAGTGGTTATAATTAGGAGAACGGCTGCGTCCTGTGTGCGAGTCATGTCGAGGGTATGATTCGCTGTAGTCATGGTTACGTTCACTAATGATGAAAAAAACAAGACATTCTTGGAATGGTGTTGTTGAATTCAAGCTGTGATGTCTGATGAAATGTTAAATAAAATAATAGGATCAAGCCAAGAAATCAGCAGTAGATGGCTGAGCCGTGGGGCGCCCGAGATGGAAGATTTTAAAAAGTCATAGGCGGAGATTATTTACATAAGTAACATCAAGAAGACCAAAGTCTCTCGATGAAGACAAATCATTTCAAGGAAAAGATAAATCACCAAATAAACCAAACTACGTTTTTGTCTATAATTATGACAATTAAAATGCCAAGTAAAAGTTCAAATTAGAAAAGGATGATTAAAAAGAAAAGTCAAAGGAACATTTC